AAATAAAAATAAATGGTACTAAATGGGCAAAATCAGTGGACTAGACTATCACAGATGGAAAAAGACCCAGCCCATCCCAGACCATAATATTCTCCTTGGCAATTTTAGTCACATTGCACTAAATCACAATTGCCCCAGGTTCCCTACATGAATTTTCTAGTTAGGATATTATTTACAACTGATATGATTGATATTTATATTTTTTGAGCTCCCCAAAAGAAAACTCTTCCCTTTGTTTCCTACAGACTGGCCAAATCCCACAAGGGTATGTAAACACCTTTCCTTCTGAAAAATAACCATCTTCTCACCTACTCATTAGGGCACCAAGAAATTTGAAGTCAGCAATTTAATTTATTTCTCCTCAAGAGAAGAGTCAGTGCCAGAAGTGACTACCTAGCATTCCTTTATTGTCACTGTGATTGCTAGAACAGATGTTAGTTTACTTAGTGCCCAAAGCAATGGGCTTAAATTTTCATTTCATTTAAAAGAAAATTTGAAAACACTTGAATAAGTGACAAATAAAATATTCCTAGGATTCTTTTACACACACCCAACATCAAGAAAATTGCTTCACTGGCAGGCCAAGGAAGTATGAAAGATACAGTGCAATTTTACTTTACCTGCATTGCCCAAGTTCATGGACTTTGAAAAACTCAAGGTTCTTGAGAGTATATAATAAAATGTGCAAACACAGCCAAAATAAATATAGACAAAATGCTGCTTACGATTGTTTGACCTGGCAACCCCAGTTGGCCTCTGCCTACCTACTGGCTTTAAAATGTGTGAATTCACTGATCCCTAACAAGAATGTGTGATGAAGATTCCATGTTTCATACCTTCTTCATTCTACATAAAATGATGACCATTCCTACCTCTATGCTTTCGATCACAGTTCATTTTCCCTCTGGAATGCCCTCTCTTCTTTTCACCCATTCAATTTCACTGAGGCCAAAAGGCCCACCAAGTATTGTCTGGACCTGCCCTACGATGTGTCAGTGGCCTCAGCAACCTCTTAAGTTCCCTCTGCTCTAAATACAGACCCTGTGGATTTTTGCATCTTTAGAGCTATGCTGCTCTCTGAGCACCAGTCCAACTTTCTAGCTGGACTGTGCTAACTACTTTCAAGATTAGAACCTGAGAAAAATAAGAACCAAGAGAGACTATGTGGGGGTGCAAATTTCCAATGATGAATGTCATTGTGTTGTATACCTAAAATGTACCAGTGATTAGAATGAATAAACGATAATGCAAAATAGGAAGAAAAGGTCCAAAAGGGGGGGGGGGTGCAGGGGAAGGGAAAGAAGGGAAAGGAAAAATGATGAGAAATGGAAAAAATGGAAATAAAGTCTTTGTAAATAGGGAAGGGTGGAGGGGGTGAAGGGAGGGCTAGGGGTGGGGAAAAGATGGGAACCAAGATGCATTATGTAAAGGTACAATTCCCAATAAGAAATGTAATTGTGTTGTATACCTACAATGTACCAATAAAAGAATTTAATAAAAAAAATAAATAAATAATAAAAATAAATAAATAAATAAATGGAATGCTACCCTAAATATTGTATAGGTAGTAAGAGTTAATTGACAGAGTTTATCTAAATGATATAAACATTTTGAACAATTTTTGATGAAGAGGAAACTTAAATTCCTTTTTTTGAAACATCTATTGTCATGGAATAAGTTTTCTCTCTTTTTTATTTTTTATTATTAATTTAATTGGTACATTTTAGGTATACAATGTAATGACATTCATCATTGGAGATTTGTACCTTTGCATGATGTATCTTGATTCTTATTTTTTCCCCATTGCCTGACCCCCCCTTCACCCCCTCCACCCCTCCCTAGTTACAGAGACTTTGTTTCCATTTTTTCCCTTTCGCATATTTATTCCATTCCCCTTTCCTTTCTCCTCTCCCTCCCATTTCCCCTTCCCTTTCCTAACTTTTCTTCCTATTTCACATTATCTATTATACCATTTGATCCTTATTTGCATTTTCAGCTTCTCGCGCCAGAGAGACTATTTGGGGTTTACACACGTGTGTCCTGTTTGTTTCACTTGAGACTATGGCCTCGATGTGCATCCATTTTGCTATAAATGTCTCTGTTGTTTTCTTAAGAATTCAGAAAGGATCTCACTGAAACATCACACTACTTATGGTTAACAACCCACACCATGAAATGGTTAAATTTTGAAATCCTGAAACAGGCTTTTCCTCAATACATGGCAGAATGTGCTCATGAATAATCTAAATCTATATCCTGTGCACTGTAATCAGTTCAGCTACTGAACATAACTCAAAGAGAGTTAATATGTGCCTTTTATGTATAGTTTATTTTAAATTATAAATTGACATGTTAAAATTGTATATTTGAAATGTACATTCAGTAATTTTGAAATAGGGGATATACTACTATTAGCTGTAGTAACTGTACTGTGTAACAGACCTCAGAAGCCACTGCCATATTTATGCCTCCTGAAATTTTGGATTTTTGAGAAATGTATCCCTATTTCTACCCCCACCTCCAGCCTCTGTTAACCACTGCTATACCCTTTCCCTTTATAAGTACATTTGTTTTATATTCATGGAAAAAAAAAAGATTAGATCCTGATTTTGTTGATCTTTTGGTACCTCTCACTGCTAAGTATGTATCAGAAATTCAATAGAAAATTATTTATTTGTTTCTTAATAACCTATTATGCAGTTCAAAGCCATTATTTTAAGGAAATGACCACCCTGCTCACCCTTGGTAAGCATCTACCTGTAAGAGACACCATCCCCAAACCCACCTTTCCAAGTTCATAATCTAAAGCAATAGCCAATAGTATGTGCTAGTTAATGTTTATTTATCAGTTATAGGTAGCCATGATGTTAACAATTCAGGGATGGTCAACAAGACCAAATGAGCATATACTGTACATTAAACCGAAAACTATGTTAAAAGACATTAGAAAAAATAACCATGGCAAGTGGAACAAAAAACTGAAAACAGGAAATTAGCCTTTCTCTTCCAGCATCATAATATTTGAACATTGCTAAGTAACCTCCATAATCCTATTTCAATGACCTACTCATAAGAACCATGGCATTCTGTGCACTAACAAGCGCCATCTTGTCTGCGCTATTTTCTAAAAACTGGTTCTGATTAACAAGTCCTATGCATTTTCTGGAAAGAAAGAAAAGTGCTAAATGAATCCAAGATTTACTTTTTATCACCCTCACCATTGAAAGTGACATGAAATGTCATTACTGGGTCAGGGTGACAAGAGTACCAAATGATGCTGAAAAACCCTGATATAAGAGTACCCTTATGTGATAAGGCCATAAAGCTTGAGTTTGCATAGCCACATACAAATGATGGCTGATCTAAGGCTTTCTGATATTATTCTTGTAACATATCAAGTAATGAGATTTATAGAAAACTAGAATTTACACATCGAAATGATTTCTGCTACTTTAAAGTATTTACCTTGGAAAGTCTCATTATGCTTTCTCCATCAGCACTGTCACTGTTCCAACTATTTTCTGAACTCTTCCACTGGAATTGTCATGACTTCGAAGGCACAGTATTTGAATATCCCCAGTAGAGAAACAGAGGAACATTATCACCATTTGATCTTTAAAAACCAGAAAGCTGCGGGAACAGGGTCTGGTGAATGGTGGGTTATCAAGTTGGAAATCTCCTCAGTAAAAACCATGACTAAGAAGTGATACAATTTTCTTTCTTTTTGTGACCTGTAAATTGACTTTGCAAATAGTTCCAAAAAGTGTTTCAGAATTTTTTTTGCGCAATGACTGCATTACTGGAGGGAGTCTCCAACCTCCAAGCCACCCATGCTGAGGGACTTCATTTGATGTAACAGTTCTGTTAGGTCATGACATGAACAGCACCATTACTTTACAGCCAGGATTTTTAGGAAGAGTTCTACAAAAGCTGAGCTCATTTGCACCTAACAGATTTTCTATACAGCCCGCTTGCGTTGAAGAATGTAATATCTTTAGTGTTTATCCATTTTATTGCCATTTCTTACCTTTCAGAGAGAATCATAATGTTTGTGTTACCTGATCAATGCTTGATTGGCTTTGATGAGATATAAATCCACTTAAATTTTCCTTTCTTTGACACTAGGATAGTGATCTTATGGACTTGGGTCTCTCAAATATTTAACCTAGAACCTCCCACTAAACACCATAGCTGTAGTCACAATTATCATGAGCTTATTCACAGGAATCATTTACCTGGACCAAGCCTGGACACATCACTGGGAATTTGGCTTGGGTGCAGAAGCAAGAAGAGAATGGGAGGGCTGGGGATTTAGCTCCATGGTTCCAGCACCTGCCTTGCAAGCACAAGTTCCCAAGTTCAATCCCCGATACCAAAAAAAAAAAAAAAGGAGAGAGAATGGGAAAAGGAGTCACATGAATTGAAGAATGGCCATATGCAGGAATATTTACATGCCTTATCACTTGCAATCACACAATCAATCCTAAGAAGTAGGATTGTCTCAGTTTCACCTATGTAGATGTATTAATGAGCTCTTTGTCACTGTGACACAATACCTAAGAAAATCAACTTAAACAAGGAAAGACATTTTGCCTTATGGTTTCAGAGATTTCAGTCCATGGTTTAGCTGGATCCATTGTTTACCTCCTGCCTGAGGTAAAGCAGAAAGAACATCATGGCAGTGAGAATATGTGCTAGAGGAGGCTGCTCACCTCTTGGTACCCAAGAGAAAGGTGGGGGGAGACACATTTGGGGGCAAAATACATATTTCACAGGCACACCCCTTGTGACCCACCTCTTCCAACTAGATCCCACCTCCTAAGGGCTCCACCACTTCTCAGTAAGGACCACCAGCTGGGGTCCAGTCCTTCAGCATATGAGCCTCTGGGTTGTAGTCAAACTATAACAGCAGAGAAAAGGAAATTAAAAGAGATTGACTAATTTGTCCAAAGCCCACTTATTCATTAGTGCAAGTGTTAGGATTTGGATTTTTTCTGGTTCTAAAGCCCAGGTTCTTTGCAGTGAGGTTAGTATAACTATTTCTAGTGAGGGAAGCATGAAGAAGGAGCAGCCTCTGGCAACATTGACTCCAGTGCCATTTCTGCAGCCCACTCCCTGGAGCAGCATGAGCCTGCTAAATTCTCATTTCCCTTAATCTATTGTTTAAATAGCTATTTATTAAACCAGTCTATGTTTCAAACACTATACTATGGCTGAAAGGTCAAGGATGAATGAAGCAGATATATGTCCTCCATGGGCTTACAGTTAGTAGAAGAGATAACATATTGATATGATTTCCATAAAATATTAGATTTGCTAAGGTAGAGATATAATTAGGATAAAATAAGAGCACAAACTCAGTGGTGATATTTACTGATCTGTGTTCCCCACTCAGCTACAAGGTCTGTGATTACAGAAACCACCTCCATCCATCCATTTTGCCATTGTTCCCCAGTGGAACTAGCACATAGTTAAGTGTTCAGTAAATGTTAAGTATAAATGAGTCCATTGCTACCTGAGCTAGGACATGAAAAATGAAAAACAGTTATCCAAGCAATGAAACTTAGAAGAAGTTTTTCATGAAGAAGAACATAAGAGAAGAGCAAGGTATATACAGGAAACTTTGCCTTTTAGTTTTATCAAAGCACAAAGTATAAAGAGGAAGGTGGCAAAGAGCAAGTTAGAGAAATAAGAGATATCTTGTGTGAGCTGAGGACCAAAATCTTAGTAGGTCCATCAATACATTCTAGGATTTGATGGACTCTCTGAAATTGTCATGAAAAGTTTTTGAGCTTGTGTGTAAATATAAATGTGTACTTCTCTGATAAACGGGGTGCATCATTTTCACCAAATTTTCAAATGGTAAGAACTTTTCTAGACAAGGAAGAGCTATTAGAGAGCTAATGGGGCAATAAAGTTGCCAGAATGACATATGAGATGAGTGACTGCAACTGCAGGATAGAGGGTGGAACCCTGGTGATAAGACTGGGGTGGAGGAACTAGCAAAGAAATCCTGCAAAGGCGCCGGGAAGAAATAATGAAATTCTAAACTTGACCCCTGTATTGGGGACAGAATAGACAGAGGCAGACTAAAAAGTATTTAGGTCAGGGGAGCAGGATCTACTGATGAAGGGTGTGATGTTGGAGAAGGGAGAGAGCAGAAAGAGAAAAAGAAAGCTCAGATTAATTTCCAGGTTTCCAACTGAGAGCGATAAGCAGTCTCTTGAAACAAGAGAACAAGCAGGTTTGAAGGAGGAAAACTCCACTTGAACTATTGAGTTTCAGGCATCAGTAAGACTTAGAATAGGGAAAGATCTAAGCCAGAGATAGATTTAAGTCATCAATATCTCGATGAGCATTTAAACTATGGACAGAAATGAGACAGTCCACGGAGAGTGTTAGAAAAAAGTAGGAATGGATCCATGAGTTACACGATATTGTAGATGTACTTAGTGCCACAGGATGAAAATTGTTAAAATGGCAGGTAGGTAGATATGTACATAGATAGATTGCCACAATTTTTTAAAGTAGAAGAGTTTAAAATGGGGGGGGGGTCCCTAGGGCATTCTGACACTTAAGGGGCTGGGTAGCAAGAAAATAGAATTCCAATAAAATCCAGGGTGGGGTGAGTGGATAAGTTAGATAGTTGCTCAGGTAGCTTCCAGAAATAACAGTCAGAATATATAAGCTCTGGGAGAGAAAGAATTTTGGTCTCCAAGCGTGTCCATCCAGAACTTCTCAGCAGAAATAAAATGACTTAAATTTCATCTTTCAAAATAAAACTTGCCCATGCTCTGCCAGTTTTGCCCGGGCATGAAACAGAGCTCAGAGCAGCTGCTTCAGGTGGTTCTAAATTCCACATTCAGAGAATGTCACGCCTACTAAGCACCAGTCTTGGCCCAGAGAGAGGAAGGAGTGAGTGTCCACTCTGCCCAGCCTCGACACACTTCTCACTCTGCCCTCGGGGTCTCCCATTGGAGCAGGGTGAAGCTGACCACGTTCACAGTCCCTGATCTCTCTGGAGGGTCCGTGACCCTCCCACCCAGATTGACTGATGCCACAGATTTCTGTTAAGTCACAATGTGGATAGAACAGAGCTGCCCTGGCAGAAGTTCTCTTTTCCTCAAAGGTTTCCAACAGTGCTGCAGAGACAAGCTCACCTAGTACCAGAGAAAGAGAGGAGGTTAGAAAATAGAAGAAAGAGGCGAGGAGGGCAACCATGGGAGCCTCATGTCATCAGCTGTGTCCCCAGGTGCCCTGAGGAGGGGAGAATCTGGAGAAGCAGTGTTGACAGCTTTCAAACAGAGCTAATGGATCATCAGCTACGTTCCTGTCATATTTTTAGCACAGATTGGCTAATATCCCTTTAATGGGGCAGAATAAACCTTATTACCTAATTCTTTCACGTTAAATGTTTACAAGGCGTCCAACACTGTGAAAGAATCTAAGTGGCTTCAGTAATTCAGTGTGAATACTGAGAATCTGCCCAACCAGGCACAGACCACAAACCTACCTCAAACTCACCCCCACCAGCGAAGGGTTGGATAGCCCCTTTGCTGGTTCACTTGCTGCCAAAACATCATTGTTAAAATTACCAGACCTGTCCTCAGGATATTAAAAGTAAAACATAGTGAGGGAGTCATTGTAGTAGGGGCAATAAAGTGTGCCTCTTTCCTGCTTTGACTGAATAAGCTGAGACATCAGGCCAAAAAATGATATATGAAAGACTCAGTATTGCCTTTATGATTGTATGCTGAAGACTTTGGCTGAGTGTGGCAGCAAATGGGTTGGAAACTGAAACCCAGAATTAAATAGATTTACCAGCCCATCATAGGCATGAAGCCTGGTCATGGAAGAAGACACACAGGTAGGAGCCTGGACACTGGAATTGATTAGCATAAGCTTTAAGGACCTCACTTCAATAGGCTCCTTCAAGGCCCTTCTAAAGCCCCACAGTCCTTCCTGGGAAGAATCTTAGGATTCTTCATTTGTATTTTTACATTCTCTTTCTTAAAGCGCCCCACAACCACCACCAAATTGTGGGAGCAGCAGTTACCCTTATTTACTGAAGGAGTGAAAAAGAAGAGACAAGCCTGGAGTCACTCCTACCCCGTGCCTCAACATGGAAGAAAACATCAGGAGTGGGGAAGAAATATTCCCTTTTTAACTGACAGTTTCTAGACCTTCCAGGAGGACACTTTATTGGCTACACCCATGCCATGGGCATTAGGCAGAATCCAAGTGCAAGCCCAACTTCGAGACAAAGGATTTCACAAAATTTCTTTATGTTGAACTCCCCCCAGTTGCTTCCTAATTCTTCTCCATTTACTCCTCCTTCCTTTACTATAGCAACCCTCAAAACAAAACAGAAAAGAACAGCAATGTCTGATTTGATATTGTCCAGAGGCCTGGCTGTCTCCTATCATATTGCCAACAAGCCCTGACATGATTCCTCACCCCATCCCAGATCATGTGTCAGAAATCCAGACTCCTGAGATGCCACCAACCAAGTAAAAGAAACTTTCATTATTCAAGTTTCCAACTCTATACCACTGAGAACAGTGCTCTCCTTGTCTTAGAAGAGATGTCCTCATTTCATGAGCTGGGAACAGAAGGAATTAAAGAAAGCCAGGATGCAGGGACTTGGCCATTCAAGCCAGAAGCCTTCAGGGAATGTCATCCCTGATAACAAATGCCTGGAGGAAGGAGCAGGGCTGAACCATCCTGCCCTCAAATTTCATATTAGCTGTCTGCATGATTAATAGGAGGCCTCTGTGTGAGCACATTATACTTCAGCACTTGACAGGGGAAGAAGGCTTAAAATTATTCATTGAGCCAGATGGACCGCTGCAGCCACCTTCTTAGCTCCCCTTGGTGGGAGACAGAAGCTGTACTCCTCGAGCTGCTTGCATGGCCTCTCACAGCTGGGAACCCACCTCCTCTCCACACATACTGTGCTCTCACCACTTGGGCCTTCCCTACCACACCCCCACCCCATACCTTCACAACCCCAGAGCTTTGCCCTGCCTTTCTGGGCAGGAATGCCAACCTCTCCTTGCCCCTGCAGAGCCAAGTGCCACCTCCTCCCTGAAGTACTGGTTCCCAGGAATGTTTCTCGCCAGCACTTGGCTACCTGCTAAGAGCAACAGCCTGTTGTTTAACCCCGGGAGCCAAATTGACCGTAAGGAAGTTCTGGCTTCTCCATGAGATTTGGGCAGGTTTTCTACCTTCCTTGCCTCATGTCCATAAGATAGAAAAGATAAAATACTGAATTTATGAGGTTGTTAATGATAATTAAATAAGCTAGCCTATGGAAAGTATGTTACTATATAGAAAAAATAGTGCTTACATACAGTAAGTGCTCAATAAATATTAACTATGCTAATATCAAGTATATAATTCATCATCAGTATCATTGTCATCAGAATCTAAGCTTTTTTAAAAAGAGAGTGTTTCTTTATTAAAGGCCCTGGTCTACAGCTGTTGAATTACACACACTCCCCTGCATTGTGGCTAATTTGTTTAAACATCCCCCTCAGCAGACCATGAGCATCTTGGATCTATCTAAGTGGTTCTATATTCCTGGAGTCTGCTCAGTGAAACTGGAGTGAGACTCCTGGAGTCTGGAGTGAGACTCAGTCTGCTCAATCTCTCTTATTAAGAGAAACTCTTAATAAATGTTTGCTGAATGAATAAATGAAGGCACTTCTGAGATTGTATGTATGTATTTCATAAAACATTAGCTTCGGGTCTATATTTACTGAAATAAGTTCGTGGCTTTTGTTTGACTGTGACCCTTCTTTACTGGGTATATAATGCTTTCTGGAAGAGCTTGGAAACCAGGAAACTGGGCCTTGCATGTGGGGCTTTGTCTCTGGGTTGTCACCAGAGCACAATAAAGTTGTTGCTCCTGTGTGTTTCACCCTCCAGGGCCTCCTTCCCTGCACCTTCTCTTCCTAAGCCTGGCACTTCCTCCTCCACCACAGCCAGGCACAGCCATGGCTGCTAAGGGGAAGAGCAAACATGTTTGGAGAAAAGTTGCCCATTGCTTTGCCCAAATCCAGGAAGTTGTCTTACCCACTGTGGGCCTGCTCCTTTTGCTTCACAAGATACCTTCTCCTTCTTCCGTGAGGATCCTAAAACATGTCCATACTGTTTGGCAGCCCTTGTGCTTCACTTTACCTCTCTGAAATGAAAAATTGGGGGAGAGGAGAATGAGTGTAATGTAGATATCTGTGGTGGGTAGCCAAAAGGCTGCTGTCCTATGAACCTCTCAGTGACCGAAACCACTTTCTCCAAGTGCAGAAGACTGACGATCTCAAATGCTCCCCACTCTTGTTGTTGTGAGGAAATAGAGGGAATGTGAGTTACAGCTCAGTGTTTGGTAAAATAGCTTACGTTGATTGCCCAGCCATCTCTACTTCCACCCTGTACCTCATTTTAATCTCCCTCCCTCCTCCATGTTATAGACTTAGAACATAGAGATGAGAGTTGGAGAGGGCTATACTTGACTAATGAAAGTTTGGGAAACACATGTGATTTCTTATTGTCACCACTGAGAGAATGGCTTTGTGCCATCACTCATGTGAATGAATGTGTTGTAGGTCCAGGGTGTCCCCTCCGCCCTGGCCAAGCCCACCGCCAGCCCTGTGCACTCTCCACCCTCTATCTCGGGCTGCCCAGCCCTGCACCTGCATTTGGGGGCTGCATCCCCCTTGGGAGTCATCTGGCATTCTCAAGCCTTAGCTTCTTGTTTGGGGCCAGGAGTGTTTAGTTCCCTGGCTTTTGGGTCAAAGGCATTCCAGGGAGTTCCAAGGAGTAAGAACTGCCTTTAAAGTGCTTCCAGTAGCCCTTGCTGAGCTCTCGGAATGAGAGTGAGTCACATCCCAGCTCTGCCACTGACCTGCTGTATTCACTGGACAGGCCACCCAGTCTCCTTCTATAGGGGTGGTGGGGCAGGGAGGGTGTGCACAAGAACCTGGTGTTTCTTGGTCTGTCTGTGGTCCTGACAGCGCTGGTCTGTCAGTGGTCTTCTTGACAACACTGAAGATCGTGAATGTCATTTACAGAGGGTCACAAGGTTTGTTCCACTCGAGCCACCCCACCTGTGAACCCCAGAGATCCCCTGACCTGGATAAGAATGCCTGGGCCCCAGGATACACCCCAAGGGGAGCCCCACTTGGAAATTTTTAAAGAACAACTTCAATAGTTTATTTTCTCATTATGAAATGCTAAAAGAGACACATATTTTTTAAAAAGAAGTAAATTACCATAACACACTCCCAGTGTTAGTATTTTAGTAAATATCAGTAAACTATCAGTAAAAAATTCTAGTAAATATCAGAGAAGCCATTTTTCTGCCCTCTCATGCCACATATATACAGAATCACTCATTACACCAGGAATGCTTTCCCCTGTCATTTAAATATAATTTGACAACATAATGTCAACATAACAATTAATTGCATGATGATTCCATTACACATTATTTAGCCTTCCCTAATTGTTGAACATTTATGTTGTTTTCCTTGTTTATTAGCATCATTAACTGTGTGAACAGCCTTAATTATTTTCTTGAGCTAAAAGTGCAACTGCCGGTTTTACACAAAAGGGGGCTTTTGATACCCATAGCAGTGTGCTCCCCAAGCCCTTCAGAAAGCTGTGCCTGTCCATGCTCTCAGTAACAGGGAAGGAGAGAGGGTGGTGGATGCTTAAACCATTGTTCTCAAATGGTTTCCTTCAACCAGCATGCATAGATTGCTGATACCGAGCAAGACTTCAGTTTGCTAAAATTTAACAACCCATCTCAGGTCACAGCAACCATGTCTGTTTTCAGGGCTGGCCTAGGCATGCTTGGAAGTGGGTAAAATTGGTCTTGGGTGCCTCCCTTCCTGGCGCGCGCACAGCAACTTGAGCTGACTGTTATGCTGACTCAGCCACCCCACCCTCCCCTCTCAGGTTCAGAAGCAGTGGTCCCCCCCTACCCTGGGATTCTGCTAGGGCTTTCAGCTTTCCAGCCATAGTCCAGGAGTCTGTTACAAGCACCCTAGGGGGCATGGGTCCGGGGAGCAGGCTGAATCCTGAGTAGGATTCTCCCAGAATCTGCCCAGGTTTGGGATGTAACATCCAGCCCAGTGAGCTGGGGAGGTTGTCACCAGGTGGGAGGCAAAGCACCAGGGCAGAGGGACAGTAGCCTGCCATCTCAGTGCCTGCTCTCTGCCTCCTGGAGGAGAAGTCCTTCAGAACTGTGCTCAAAGGGAAGAACTGCCCCTCCCTGAAAAAGCAAATCCGTTCCCCTTGAAAACCGACTAGACAGAGTTTAGGGGGCCATTAACCCAGTGTGAAGGACAGACTTTAAACCATGCATTTGGCAAACTGATCTTCTCTGGCCTGGCTATTGCTGAGAGTTTGGGGAGGGAAGATCCTGTATGGTCCATTCACTGCTGCTGCTGACCACCTCTCTCTCCGCCCCACAGTCAGATGGCTCCATCCTGGCAATCGCCCTGCTGATCCTGTTCCTCCTCCTGGCCCTGGCACTACTCTGGTGGTTCTGGCCCCTCTGCTGCACCGTGGTAAGTGCCCCAACCCTGGGATATGTAAGGGAAGTGGGACATGAAGTTTCTAGGACCATCAATAAGGAGAGAAGGACCAAGAATCGTAAAGGACAAATTTTGCATTTTTTTTACAATTTATACAAAATTGGCATACACTAGCATTGGTCACTGGGACTGTGAGTCATTAGCAGCATTTATCAGGATGTGAAGTTGCATGTAAACACCCTTTTGGGAAAGGCACCTTGGCCAGGTCTGATGCTTAGGAAGATTCATAGCATCTACAGGGTGTCGCAGAAGATGAGTGTTACTCAACATGTAATAAATATACAGTACATGCATGTACACACACACACACACACACACACACACTTGTTGAGTTGCCCTGACTGGGCAACTGAGCTGATACCCTTCTAAGGCCACCTTAGTCACTTTCTTCATGGCTAGGAAAAATGCCCAATGCTGGCAATTTAAAGAATAAGTTATTTTGGCTCACAGTCACACTCTGTGGTTGCATGGTGGAAGGGCATAATAGGGAGGTAAACTGCTCAGGTCATGGCAGCTAGGAAGCAAAGAGAGATGGGGTGGAGGCATCCCCTCCCAGGTGACACCCCCAGGAACCCGTCTCAGACTAGGCCTCTGGTCCCTAACAGCAAGTCATCTGTACAGATCCCACAATTCAATCACCTTCCACAAGCCCAGCCTGTGAGCACACCAGGCTCTGGGGGACATTCCAGATCCAACACCACCTGGTCTGGCCACCAGAGGGAGTACCTCAGGCCTCGCTTGACAATAAAGAGACGCGCCTTTATTTCATTATTTTTAGCTAACATTTACAGGACACACCTTCAGTGTGCCTACCACTGGTCGAAGCACTTTGGCTACAAGATCAATAAGAACCTGCCTCCTTCACAGCTCTCTCATCTGAATCACCACATCACTCCAGCCAGTGTCCCCCAGGCAGCTTGGGGACCTGGAATAACCTGCCCTCTCCCCTACTGACAATCTGCTATGCCCAGGTTGTCAGTTTCTATTCCTCAGCTGCTAGACTGCAAAAGCCCTGAATAAAGCAATATCCAAACACAGAATAATGCATTAGCTCTGATATGTCTAGTTCTAGCCTGTGCCCTGCCTTCATGTGAACCCAACTGTGCCCCCATAAAACCCAGTGAGTTTGAAGTGCCCACTGCTCAGCTGCCGTGGCATTTTCTCTTCCCCATGCCTTCGTTCTTTCAGAGAGGGGCTGGCAGGAGAAATAGACAGTGAGCCTCTCTGGGACAGGGGCTTGTCTTTATTTTATCTCGGAGCACCAGCATTTAGCACATAGGCAAGGGACACAGGTCTGTGTGTGGAGCTGAACTGAAATGAGACCACAGACACATAGAGCCCTGGAGTTGAAAGGGAGGGAGAGATGGCTTTGAATGACATTTTAAAGAGGTGGCAAATGAATGAGATGAGCACCCCAGCCAGGATGAGAACCACGTGGCAGAAACTTCTGCAAAGAGATGACTTGAGACAGACAGGAACGCATGTGTACAGGGATAGACCCAGAAGAGGCACAAGTCTTGAGTCAATCAGTAGCATCCACCAGACAAATTTTACCAACATGTTAAACAGATTCCTGCTACAGCTGCCCCATTGTAGTTTTAAGTACTTAAGGCTACACAACCAGTTTATTTTGAAGATAAAAAAAATCCCCATGAGGGGCTGGGGATTTAGCTCAGTGGTTCTGGTGCCTGTCTTGCAAGCGCAAGGTCCCGAGTTCAATCCCCAGTACCAAAAACAAACACAAAAATCCCCATGAGTCAATGAGAATGGAGATTCAAAAACAAGCACATTTTCAAATTCAGAATTTTAAAGGGAAAAGAAACACTTTGCAGTGGGCTCTTAAAGAAGAGGTTGGGGAGGGCTGGTGGCAGCAGGCCGTGAACACAAGAACATCTAATGTAGTGTTGCTCACCTAGGCCCTTGGATTATTAACAGTTACCTCTGGGTGGAGACAGCTAGAAAAATAGTACAGCCAAGCAGTGTTCTACCAAATACTAGCTGTGTGACCTTGAGCAAGTTACTTAACCCCTTTGTGCCTCAGTTTCTTCACTGGTATAATGAGGACAATAAGAGCCCTGACCTCACAGGTTAGATGATAAAGATTAAAGGAATGTATAAAAAACATTTTACTGTCATAGGAATTTATTACTGCACTTTATGGCATTCGGGATATATTACTAGGAAATGTTTCTCAAAATAAATCTTTCATTATTGGAAGTCCCACCACCCAAGGCCAGTTTTGCAATATTCAAAATATTTTTCAATGAATTTATCTGGTTAAGTTCCTGTTGTTTTGGAAGGCAGCCAAAGTGTCTTAATGTGGTCTGATTTTGTAAGGCGCAAAGGATTTCTTTATGAGAGAAGATCCTGGAGATGAATTTTCCTGTTCATGATGTCAATAAAAAACAGCCCCCACTCCCTGTTTTGAAAAGCTGGCCCAGGCTCTGGTACTTGATGTGCCTCACTTGATCACTCGCTTCCTTGTGATGAGTGATGATGCTCTCAGGGACAGGATAAGTCTTGTGCCTTCTAAACAGAAATATCAACAAGGAGGAAAAACATGAGCCTCCAGGGAGGCCCCATTCCGAGGATTACAGAAAGTTTCCCTCAGTGACAGCACCCTTCACCACAGCCCTCTAACAGAGCATGTTTTTGTAAACAGTGGTTCCCAAATCTCCCTCTGTCACTCTCCTGCCCCTTCCCCCAAGTATAGGTGATGCCCCATGACCTGATGCCAAAGCTGCATTGTAGTGGGGGGCACAAAAAAAAGCCAGAAAGACCTGCAAATGTGTGCTCTGTGAAGCCTGTCTCTGCTCCTGCTGCAATGTTTCCTCCAGGGGTCAAGCTCAAACCCTAACAACCTGCAAGGCCCCCACACCAGCTGAGCTAAATGTAAACATTAAGCTTTTGATGGCTGAGTATCTGAGAGGTGGGCAGGAAGCCCTGGAGGGTGGCTGGGTAGCAGAGCAGGGAACCAGGAGCCCATTTACTAACTATAAAGAACACTTTTATAAAGCATGGCCAGACTTCACATGGTGGTTCCTATGAAGCCGACCCTGTCCCTTGTCATCTTTTTCTTCCTGCTGGTCCTGTCTGCAAGAAGTCTGAGGGGTGAAGGATGATTCCCCATTGCATTTTGCCTTTCTTAAAGAACGTCACTCTGATTTCTCCTTCAGGCTACTTGCTTTGCCCTCCCCTTCCTCTCAGCAGCAAGTCTGTTGGCAGGGCGCTCACTGTGCACATCCTCCTCATTCACTCCTCCACTGCACCCTGGCCTTTGCTAGTATTTCTCTAGTCCCTCTCCTGCAAGCCTCAATGCCCTAGCCAGTGGCCCCTGCTCATTTCTTGTCACACTTTACCTCCTTCCACAGTAGGCACTGTTCACCTCTCTCCTTTGAACCTTCTTCTCAGCTCGTTTCTACTGACTCTTCTACATCTCTGTTCACTTTTTCCCCTCTTTGTGACCTTGTCTGCCTCTACTTGCTCTTCATTCTCCAGGATTGTCTTTGATCCTTTTCTCTATACATGATCCCTGGCCAGTATCACAGATTCTCATGACTTCAGCTACTCAGTGCATCCACTCATCTCTGGCCATGGCTCCCAAAGACCAGGCCACATTCTAGGAGCCTGGTAGACATCTGAAATGCAAGCACCCCGCGTCAACATGTGCATGAGTAAACTCAGCACAATGTCCCCTAAACTGTGCTTTATCAGTGGATGTGCCACTGCACTCCAAGCTGCCCAAACTAGAGACTGTGGGTGTCTGATGCCTTCTTCTGTCTGTCGTGCCTTGCCTCATCTCACTGCAGTCTGTCTTCAGTGCACCCTCTCCTCTCACACCTCAACTTACCCATCACACCCACCCATGCCCTCTATTCCAGAACAAGCACAACGCCTGGCTCTCAGCAAGCCCTTTAATAAATAGTTGTGGACTGAATGAGTGAGTGAGTGAATGAGTGAATGAGTGAATGAATGAATAATTTCCATTACCTTAGTCTAGGGTTCTCCCCCTTGAGCTACCATAATATCTTTCTGACTGTTCTTTTACTCTTTCTCAGCAGCAGTAGATTTTTCTTTACAACAAAAAAAAATAGCATTCAGAATATTTATCATACTTGCTCCCCTGCCCAAAAACCTTCTTCCTTCCTTTCTTTCTTTTTAGCTTTATTTTTCTTCTCATTGGGAATTGTTAACTTTATATAATGCGTCTTGGTTCTTATTTTTTCCCCATCCCTTGCCCTCCCTTCATGCCCTCCACCCTTCCCTATTTACAAAGACTTTATTTCCATTTTTTCCATTTCTCATCATTTTTTC